CACTCTTGTGTCGCCACAGACTCTCCCCCTCCTCGGTGTATTGGAGTGTGTCCAGCTGACAGGCACGGGTTCAAGCCCTGCCAGGTCTTTCCCAGGTAGAAGGAGACCCACATGACCCTACGGCAACTAGGTGAGTGGCCATTTGGAGCCATCCAGCGGAGGACTGAGAAAAATTGCGCAGGGCCACCCAGGTTGTCGGGGACTGCCATTGAACAAACATGCAAAGGGATTCCAATTGCGTTGTGGCCCTCAAAGGGAAAATAACCAAATATCGGCCACACTTCTCACTTCCTCTGTGTGTGTGTGTGTGTGTGTGTGTCATTTTAAGACCAGCTCTGCTGTGGTTGGATGCTCTCCAGGTGATTCTCACGTATGACGACCCCATGTGACAGGGTAGAGCAGTCCCCCGAGACTTTCTTGGTTGTAACCTTTATAGCAGCCGACTGTCTGTCCTTTCTCCCGTGGAGCGGATTCAAACTCCCAACCTTTTGGTTACCAGCTGAACGTTAAGCCGTTGCACCACCGTGGCCCTAAAGTCTACCCCGGCCCCTTGATAGGGTTTCTGAGACGGTGAAGTCCTTCTGGGAAGAGGACGGCCTGACCCTGACCACTGAGCCACCTCAAGCCTTAGGCAACCACTCATCTCCACTCTGTGTCTTCTGCATATTTCATCTACATGGAGTCCCACCCGAAGGGGCAGAGGACAACTGTCCCCAGCAGGTTTCCAAGGCTGTCAGTCTTTACAGGGGCAGACTGCCCCAGCTGCCTGCAGGGGAGCAGCTGGGGGAGTCAAACCGACAACCATTCAGATCACAGATAAGGGCTTAATCTCTGCAGATCCTTTGGCTCCTTGGAAAGGTCTTGGGAGGCAGGGAGGAAAGCCAGGTTCCCCTTCCCCCATTTAACAGATGGGCAAAGGGAGACACCCCTCCCCCCAGGCTGTATCCAAAGCAGGTAAGAGAGGGCAGGGCCCACGTCCCAGGAGTGCCGGGTGGGAGCAGGGCGCCAGGCGCCGGGCTACAGAACCTTGGGCAGCTTGCCCTGACCTCCCTGGCCCCCGCCTCCTCCTCCTCCTGGCTCGGTTACATCACAAACTCCCAGGGAGTGTCACCAAGGGTGGCCCGATCAGCATGTCCTGACGTCGGGAGGTGGCAGCTCTGACGGTTGTTTTCATGGTTGGTTTCAGGCGGGAACAGGCAGCTCTCACTTTTGTTTGCTCTGCCCCTGACGGTGACATGACGGCGTACCAAGCCTCTGGGGCTCCTGAATCTCACAGGCCTGGGTGAGAACTGCACACACACCCAGCCCCCAGCCCCCATCTTGCTGCATGACCTTGGGTGGGTCGCCTCCTTTCCCTACCAGCCTCAGTTTACTGCCCCAAGAGAAGTAACGTGGATGGTGGTGCCCTTGGACCCTCTGCCACCTCTCACCCCTGGTGACCCCCTGTGTGTGTGTATCACGGCAGGACTGTGTTCCGTAGGGGCGCTTTTGTCTTCTCAAGGCCTGTTTGTTTCTCTTTTTGCAGTTTGCGTTGAGAATATGCACAGCGCAGCGTACACCGATGCGGCAATTTCGGCACGTACAGTTCAGGGTCCTTAATGACACTCGGTGCACCCCTTCTTACCCTCCTGGGCCAATTTGTTCCTTCCCCTTGGACATACGTTCAAGCCCTGTGAAGTTCCCTGTCTAGTCTTTCAAGTTGCTATGTCCAATTGGGTCCCCTGGAGGCAGTTCTTAAGAAGAGCGTCCCTAGTGCTTTCTACGGTGGGCCTTTGGGAAGGGAACCCACTTCCCACAGTGAATGCAAGGCCTTTTCCCCTGGGCATTTCTGGATGGACTCACTCTGCTGTGCACGTTTGTGCCACGCACGATGCCCTCCAAATAGTATCCCACCCCAAACGCCTTGTCTATGCCTTTCCCTGCCTGTGTGGACAAGGAGCCCCGGTGGCAGAGCGGGTTAACCAGTAGGTCAGCAGTCAGCTGTTCAAAGCTACCAGTCCGTTCCTCAAGAGAAAGATGAGGCTTTCTACTCCCGTCTAGAGCGGCAGTCTCAGAAACCCACAGGAGAAGTTCTATCCTGTCCTATAGGCTCACTGTGAGTCGGCATCTGCTAGATGGCAGTGAGTGAGTGAGTGAGTGAGTGAGTGAGTGAGTGAGTGAGTGAATGAGTGAGTGAATGATTGAGTGAGTGAGTGATTGAGTGAGTGAGTGAGTGAATGAGTGAATGAGTGAGAGAGTGATTGAGTGATTGATTGATTGAGTGAGTGAGTGATTGAGTGAATGAATGAGTGAGTGAGTGAGTGAGTGAATGATTGAGTGAGTGAGTGATTGAGTGAGTGAGTGAATGATTGAGTGAGTGATTGAGTGAGTGAGTGAGTGAATGATTGAGTGAGTGATTGAGTGATTGATTGAGTGAGTGAGTGAGTGAGTGAATGAGTGATTGATTGAGTGAGTGAGTGAGTGATTAAGTGAGTGAGTGAGTGATTGAGTGATTGAGTGAGTGAATGAGTGAGTGAGTGAGTGAATGAGTGAGTGAGTGATTGGTTGAGTGA